CATAGATACTTACTCTATGGATGTTATATTAATCATTCCTATAAAATATGAACGGTTGCCCTATTTTTCTTTCAACTATTTGGTGCTAGTCAATTTTATTTTTAACTCTTGTGACACATGGATTATGTTTAATGACATGGACAGGCTAGTTGGGTAAAGAACGATAGGTTATGAATTATTAGCTTTTTAAGGTGTCTTTTAAGTTGAATTAGTTATGCAAGTCCTTTGCTATTTAGTGTTTACCCTTACTGACTGCATTCAAATCAGAGTTGTTCTGGGCTTTACCAGCTTATGTTAAGCATTAACGTAAGTCAGAGGTCTGAGAAATTCTAAATCAAAAGTGTGATGTATATTTTGTTCAATATGATGCCTGTTAGATATGTCTACATTTGCCTGATTTTTTATCACAAAGATTGTTCTTATAATCAACAGTATTATTGTAACATGCGTTATTATTGTAACATGCATTTTGCTTTTATCTTAAGTATCAAGTGGGTAACAAATTATGTTTTATTCCTCCTGGTTTTGATTTTGATAGTGTGCCAAGAACACTGTTACCTGGTGTGCGCAGTTCTCGTTTGAGAGACCGTCAGAAAGAAGGAAGAGAGATTCTAGTAAAGCAGGCTTTTATAGAAGATATGCTGCAGGAAAACAAACTGCTATCCATTCTTCTTGGAAAAGAAGCTACTAAACAAGTTGTTTTATGGAATGCTGATTTACTACCAGATTCTGGCAAATATCGTCAGCTGCCGGATTTAGCTTCTACTTCTGGAACCTATATGACAGACATGTCAAATGATAATATTAGTTCTGCAGATAAGAGTAGCCATTCTCTTCTTGATGATATGAGTTTGTACATGGAGAATCTGACCGATTTATATGATGGTTGTGATGATAGTCTTCCTTGTCACTTCCAAACTGACTCAGGAGCACTGGCTTGTGTGGGCTGTGGAATACTCGGTTTTCCATTTATGACATTGATACAGCCAACTGAAAAATCGATAATGGAACTTCTTCCTGATAATCATCATCTAGTTGAAGATTCTATCCTGAACTCTGTTGCCTCCTTTCACAGTGGAGTCTCAAGTAATGCCTTTATACTTTGTCCTATAATCCGTTTTTAATCATATTTTCACATGTATGTTTTTATTTATGCATATTGCATGGTGTAGTGAAATTGAACTTGTTAGCTACTACAGGTACAGCAGAGCTAGATAAGTAGTGGTTTCTAGAGTTGCTGTAATGCTGCTGTCTAAATTCTAAAATTTTAAGTTCCAGCAATCAACTAATGGAATTGCATTGGTTCTTCTATGTAATATTGGAAACGCCACATTAGTTGTTATTTACCTGTTCTTCAGGGGATCTTCCTGTTTCTGAACTTGCTTTGGCAGAGGATTCACAGAATCAGTCACTGATCAAGTGCAATAAATATTGGAACACTTCCAGTAAATTTATGAAGCCACGGATTTTCTGCTTGGAGCATGCTGTTCAGATAGTAGAGATGTTGCAGAGCAAAGGTGGAGCCAATGTGCTTATAACTTGTCATTCAGGTCTGTTTGAAGATTAGAAATTTCTTTGCATTATCATTATAAAATCAAATATTAAATTACATAGATGTACAAATTTCTTTGTTTTGAATTTCGACTTCAATTTAGTTTGGAAAACACGTGGCTCTTTCTTTTATCATCTTTAATGAATCTTGCAATAGCTTAAAGTAGCTTAAATCTTAGGAGTTGTTTCCACATGTCATAAATCTAGTAGTATTAGTATGGATAAGGTTTAGTGCTTTGTCTTTTGTATCACATCATATTACCTTGAATCAAACTCATTCCAGATTATTCCTTCTTAGTTTTTTTCATTTACTTCTTTCCCTACCTAAACCCTAAAATTTCAACAAGGTCTAATAGAATGGAATCCATCTACTTGTTATCTGGTGATCAACGTATGATGTGTTACAATCCAGTTTTCCTTATGTATCAATCATGGGCACGCAAGTTGTATGCTTTAACTCAAGAAAAAATGACAATCAAAGACATATAACTGAAATTTTTATTATAAGTTGTGTTTTCTTACTTTTACTAATCTGCTTTTTTGTAGACTATCCGAAAATAAAGGCACATGCCAGGGCAGTTGCAGAAGAGATAAAAAGTGATTTTGATTATAATGAGGTTCCAATAGATATTGCTTCCCCAGAAAATTTGGCTCTGATAGATCTGGCAATTGATGGTGAAGAACTTGATGAATGTGAAGACTGGACATCTAAACTAGGCCTTAACCTGCGGTTCTGTGTCAACAGTATAAACAAATCTCCATGTGAACAAGTTCCTTTGACACTAGCATTAGGGATGCAGCTCTATCATAAACATCCTGGTTTATCTATAAATTGGCATTCACAGAAAACTCGGTCTAAAAGGTCAAATCATTTAGCTCAGTCTCAACCTGACAACATTCAGATAAAGAAAGACGATCCTTTGCAAATAGAAGGCTCCATTGCTAAAAAGAAGCTAATTCAGTATTCAAGAAAGAGGTTCAAGTCAAACCAAAACTGTTTCTCTGCGGCAAGCACGGTTCGTGAATCCCATGAAAAGTTCAAAAATGCATCAGCTGTTATGAGTGGGGATCATTATAAATGTGTTTCTAAAGAAGAGCTTGACACAGACAATTTCAGCTGTGATTGTGCTTTGTCACATGCTGCTGCAATATCTCCAATGCATCATGAAATCCAGAATGCCGAAGCTCCCACTAGTACGAGCTTGAATACCAGTGTCTCAGAAATATGTGGCAAAGAGAGCGAGGACTGTCAGGACAAGAAATATTCTCGCCCTCTTACAAGTGGAATAGATGGAAATATTGATGTGTTGGGAAACAACCAAATTACAGAAGCATTTGTCATTGATAGCAATTGTAATGGCATAGACTTGGACGGTGAAGGGTATCCAGAATATCAGTCTGCATGCAAAAGCAACAATGAAGCTGTTTTATTGTCTTCATTTAAAAACCAACCTGCTCTTGCCACTGTGGATGGAAGTTTTGAAAGTCCAAATAATACTTACTCTGAAGAAAGAGTAAACAATTCTCTGTCGATAGAAGTGACAACTGAGGGAGAAAGTAAGTCTTTGAATGAAATGGACAAGGAACCTCTAAATGATGATAAAACAATAAGCGAACATACTCCTATTGCAGATGTTTGTGAAGTTCCAAGAGAGGTTTATGCTTCTGCAGACTTCCATGATACAGTAAGCTTGGATGGTGAAATGCAGCATGAAGGACAGGCTGGAAAAAGTGGTAAAAAAGAAATAATTCAGTCCACTAATATTTCAGTAAAACAGATATGTGAATCTACAAGTGGGGAATATGTCGAGGGGTTGCAAGGTGAAGCGGTTTTAGAGTCTGCAAAGCAGTCTGTGATCCAAAATAAGAGTAGAACTAATGAGGAACCCGTTTCTAGTGCATCTGTATCAGAAATAGGATGTTCTGAAGTTTCAGTAGAAACCTATCCTGAAGAAGACTCGTGTATTCAATTTGTTCTGAGTACAGAAACAGAAATGGAAATCCAACCCATTAATAAAACTGATGAGGAACTTTCTGTATCAACTCAGGAATGTTCTCAGACCGAGAAAAAGACTTGTGGTGGAGAAAACATAAATGGAGGTGAAGTTGATTTGTCACAAGATAATGGGGAGCTGGAAAGCTGTGACTTGACTACAGAAGCTCCCAGATCAAATCCCTCAAAGAAAAAAAAGAGGAAAATGGAAGACCCTGCACAGAGCCAAATTGATTGCTATGATTTTATAAGAAGTCCATGTGAGAGGTTGAGGCCAAGAACTGGAAAGATTGCCACCACAAGCAAAAGTGGAGGGGCCATCAGCCAAAATGACGACGAAAATCCGGTAGCTAAAAGGACACGGAAACCTCCCGAAGCTTCAGTTCCTTGGAAGGATAAAAAAGTCAATGTCAAAAGACCGCACAAGTGCGACCTTGATAATTGCCGTATGCGTTTCACGACTAAGGCTGAGTTACAGATGCACAAACGTAACCTTTGCCCACATGAAGGGTGTGGTAAGAAATTCAGTTCCCACAAATACGCGTTAATTCACCAGCGCATTCATGAGGATGATAGGCCACTGAAATGTCCATGGGAAGGCTGTTCCATGTCATTCAAGTGGGCATGGGCAAGAACCGAGCACCTAAGGGTGCATACCGGGGAGAAGCCTTATCAATGTAAAGTGGAGGGTTGCGGCCTTTCTTTCAGATTCATATCAGATTTTAGCAGGCACAGGCGAAAAACAGGACACTATGTGAAATCTCCCGCTTGAAAACATTCATTTTGTAAGATGTGCATATATGTGTTTAGATATGTGACAATAGATGTCTGACCATAAGCAGCATTCTGGTTAGCTAGCTGTAAAGTTAGGATATAGAATGGTTGTAGGTATCTATTTGGAAGTGATAATAACTTGAGAGGGAGTTTTGTTCATTTAGCATCATAGACGTTAATTGTTGCTGTATAATATTTATTTCATTTGTTATAAAAGGGGAACAAGAAAGATGAGAGTAAGAAACAAGACATGTTTGCTCTCAATGTAGTTTCTATGAATTCCTCTTGGGTGTATACTTTTATTACCAAAAATTGATATTTAATTTTCTTGAATTTTTTTATGAAGAATATAAATTATAATAAAAAGTTTGAGCTTCCGGGCTCGTCAAGGCTCTGAGAGCTTCTTTATCAACTGAACAAATCTTATAACGGTATTTAAGTATTTTTTTTTAAGTACTGTATTTAAGTATTTAGATGTCGATAGAAATCAGTTGAAACAAAATAGAAAGGGACGGCACGTGTGATCCACCGTCATTGGCGCAATTATTTATTTATTACCCGACGAAGACGTAAGTGAAGACGCAGAAGAAAAGACCAAGATACTTTTACTTGTTCTTTCCACGATCCCATGAAGATTATTGAAAACTAAAGTATTGTAAATGAGTCACAAACTCTTAGTTCGATGTGCAAATCTAAGAAAAGCACCACCGTGGTGCAACCCACGAACAGAAACCCTAGACGAACCCCAACTTCTCCTTCAAATTTTCCATCTTCCAACAGTGAAGTTCCAATCACAGAATCAAGAAGTTACGTATACGGTGGAAAAGACAGAGAATGGTCCAAAACCTCTTCTTCTTCCGTTTCTAGCCACGCTTCTCTTGCAAGCCTCAAACACAATCTTCCAGAAAACCCTCACATCTACCCTTTATCTGAGATCTCAACCGCCACCGCTAACTTTACCGCAAACCGTCTCTCCTCCAACTCTTTCCGCTGCTCCCTACGTGATCGGGAGGTTGTCGTTTTCCAGCGGAAATTCCGCCGTCAGATAGACCTTCCGGAGCTTCGTGACCGTCTCGCGATTATCTGCCGGAGCCACCATAGTAGTCTGGTTAAACTCCTCGGAGCTTCTGTTTCTGGTAACTGCATTTACCTCGTTTATGAGTTTGTTCCTGGTGCTAACCTTTCTGATTGCCTTCGTAATCGCCGGAACCCTAGCTTCACTAGTCTCGCCACGTGGACCTCACGGATGCGAATCGCCTCCGATCTTGCTCACGGTCTTGATTATGTCCATAATTCCTCTGGTTCTGGTTCTGGTTTCGTCCACAACCACATCAAAACTTCTAGCATCCTTGTGTCCGAAGAGAATTTTGGCGCGAAGATTTGTCATTTCGGTACGTCGGAGCTCTGCGGCGAGGCCGTCGGTGAGTCATCTTTAACGGTTTCCGGCAGGATTTTGAAGAAGTCTGGTAGCCGTGGGGTGAGATTTGAAGGGACGAGGGGGTACATGGCGCCGGAGTTTATTTTAACAGGCGCGGCAACGCAGATGACAGACGTGTACGCGTTCGGTGTGGTGGTTCTGGAGCTTCTGAGCGGGGAGGAAGCGGTGAGGTTTGAATTGGAAGGTGATGCCGGCGGGTACAGGAGGGTAAGTGTGGTGGATACGGCGATGGAGGCCTGGAAGGAGCACGGCGGTGTGAGAAAGTGGGTTGATCGGAGGTTGAGGGATTCGTTTCCGATGGACGTGGCAGAGAAAATGACCCGGGTCGGGTTGGATTGTGTTGCGGATGATCCGAATGAGAGACCGGATATGGGACGGGTATCAATGGAAGTATCCAAGTTGTATTTGGAGTCGAAGGAGTGGGAGGAAAAATTAGGAACTAACATTGATTTTTCGGTCTCATTAGCCCCACGTTGACACAAGTGTTTTACTTTGTTTATTCTACTCTTGTTAGGTAATCTATTCTCCTTTTAGTTTTTTTATCTCCGCTTAAAATATCATGATTTTTATAAATGAGAGATTGAATGGTTGTATTTTTTTTCTTTATAGGGTACATATGATATACTATACTTGTTTTTGTTCATTTTATCAAATGTCAATGTATAGGAGAAAAAAAAATTACAAAATATTTGACAATCTATTAAGTTTTTGTTCTGGACTGGGCCGCGCTGGTCCAAGAGCAAGGATGAAGGCCCAAATCCAAATGGTCCTGCAGAAGGTCGCTCCTACTCAGAAGCTACAGCCTTGTCCACGACATCCTCGACTTCATGCAGCCCAGCTCGACCTCTGCTCGAGCGCTCCTCGTAGGGCAGACTATGACCATCACGCCACGTTCTGGATTTCGAAAAGACCGCGTCTTTGTCCGTCCGTACTTCTCGTAGGACACCCAGGAAGGAGACCACGTGCGGGTCTCCACTACACACGTAGAATCTGACAGTTTCTTCATTGGGCCAAATCTGCTCGGTCCAATAAAGGGACCTTGGCCCAGCGCTGGGGGCTATAAATACCCTCTGTTCCCAGAGGGTCAGATATTCATTCTTTTACCCATACTCATATTTCTGCCTGCTCGTACTCTCACTTACTTCAGCATCGGAGTGCCTTGCAGGTACCCCCATCTCGTTCAAACTTCACCTCGGAACCAGCCGTGACGGTACAAGTCTGATCAGGTAAGATTAGTGGCGCCGTCTGTGGGAAACTAGCTTCCCCGTCTTGCAAAACTCAAAGACCAAAGCTCAACTCAACTATCACTGTCATGGCTGATCAAGCTCGCGATGAACAAAACGTCTGCGTCGTCGACACCAACAACGGCCCCGCGGACAAAAACGGACACCTTGACAACGCCGGCAACTCCGGTCACAACACCATCCCTGCGTCAACTGCCCCCGGACCTTCAACCTACCGCGACGGAGCTACTGCGTCGTCTTTCTCGGTCCCTCCGCCACTCGAAGAGGACGATGCAGCTCTCGCGAACTACCGGGCTGCCCAGTTTCAGGAAGTCCCCGTCCCCGCCGGGGCGGACGCCACAACTCGAGCGCTGTTCGCAGCGATCAATCAAACAAATTACCTCATCTTCGCCCAAGGGGAAAGACTGAGGGCACTTGAAGACGACCGAAGACCCCCGAGGAGGCATCAGAGGCCCCAAACTCCACCACCTCGAGTGACTGAAGTTCAACTCCCGTCTCCCCCGCAGAGACATTACAGAGATACCTCTCGAAGCCCGTCACCCCGCCCATCGGGGAAACGACCCCCTTTGGAGAGGCAGCCCGTCATCCACGCCGGAGGACTTGGTCGCGACCCGGTGAGACAGGAAAGAAGACATTCTAGAGACGGGCGTGTAAGAATCAACCAACGAGCACCACGCTCGAGAGAGACCCAGCACGACCAGGACCGTCGTACCCGACAGTATTACAGGTCCCCATCTCTGTCTCTGGAGAGGAGCGACGAGGACGACCCCCGCGGTCCCCTGTCGCAATCTATCATGGAAGCGCCCATCCCCCGGGCATGGAGAAACCCCCGCACTTGAAGGAGTACGATGGAGTCGCGGACTCGATCGACCACATAGACGAGTTCGAGGCTATGCTGCATTACCATAATGTCGGGGGGCCCATCAAATGCCGACTATTCCCCACGACTCTCAGGAAGGCGGCAATGGACTGGTACAAAAGACTCGCCCCGGGCTCAATCACCTCGTGACGAAACCTAAAAAACCAGTTCATCAGTTCATTCACAGCTTTTCGGCGGCATCCAAAGACTGAGTCGACTCTCGAGGCCATCATCCAAAGACAGGATGAAACCTTAAGGGAGTTCATCAATCGCTTCAACCGGGAAGCTATACAGGTCCCCTGCGCGGACCATATGAAGAGATATCTGCTGGAGAGGGGGCTCCTCCCCAGCACAGAATTCAGAAAAGCCGTGGGCATCGAGCCATCTAGGACATTTGACGCCCTCCTCGAAAAAGCTCGGGAATACATGGACTGCGAGGAGAGGGAAGCGGCCAACAGAGCCTGAGACCCCAGGACTCGCGGGTCCAATAGCAACTCGCACCAAGAAGCTCCTCCTCGGCGAACCGGGGAGAAAAGAAAAGAAGACAGACCCTGGGAAGTCCGAGAACAAAGGGGACCCTCGGGGCGTTTTACCGAGTACACTCCGCTCACAGCTCCCCGCGAGCGCATTCTGGAGGAGTGTGTCAGCACTGACTTCAAGGACAACGGCGTCAAACGTCCCCGACCTGCTCCCGCCAAGCCCGAAGCAGACAAGAACAAATATTGTCAGTACCATAGGAGCCATGGTCATCTGACTGAGGATTGCGTCCACCTCAAGGACGCCATCGAAACCCTCATCAAGGGAGGGAGGCTCGCACAATACCGGCGAAGCGACGCTCCCCGTCGTGACGCCCAGGAGACAAGGGAGCCGGAGGAAGATGTCCGACCATCTGACGAGTCGGTCCCCATCCAGACCGCCTTCTCCGTGACCAGGCCCGAGGACTTCGACATCCCCGAACACCTGCAGGAGCCGCTCACAACGCACAGTAGGTGGGAATATTTCCCCTCCGCCATGGTCATCAACGACGGCGGATTCAACGACTTGACCATTAATTCGGCTAAGAGGAAGCCGGACGAGCTGGTCGACGCGGCGCCCCCGCAAACAGTGACGTTTGAAAGGGTGAAGGGCAGGTCAGAACCCATCACCTTCTACCTAGAAGAGCTCCCCGGCGGAGCCCCAAACGCGGTCATCCCCTTACTGATAAGGGCAAGAATGATAATTTTGATGTGCATCGCATCCTCGTCGACGAAGGAAGTTCCGTCGACGTAATGTACAACCAACTGTTCCGAACTCTACAGCTGGACGACTCACATCTCTCGCCATATGTAGGGTCGGACTTACAAGGTTTCAACGGCTCGACCTCCAAGCCTTGGGGGTATGTCGAGCTCCTGGTTACATTCGGCGAAGGAACGGCGACAAGACAGGTCAAAATACGCTTCCTCGTCATCGACTGCCCGTCTCTGTACAACTGCATCCTAGGGAGACCAACACTGGCAGAACTGACAGCGGTGCCCTCGACCGTCCACATGAAGATGAAATTCTACACCAAAAGGGCACGTGTAGCCACTATCTAAGGAGACCTAGCCGCTGCTCGGAGGTGTTTCAACGCTGTATCTAAGGGGCGCGACACTGTCGACGTAGGAATAAGGCCCGCCAAAAGACCAGCAACGTCGCGACTGGAGCCCGACAAGCAAGAGTCCACCAAGGAAGAAGTCCAGAGAGCCCCACCAAAGGTCGATTCTATAGCTCTGGACGCTCGTTTCGACCAGGACGAACTTCCCAACGGCGAACAAGTTTCACTCCGACCAATACCGGACGAGGATTTTGAGTTCGTCCCCCTCGGCATCGACCCGACCAAAGGAGTGAAGATTGACAAGGATCTCCCCGACCTGGCAAGGAAGCAAATCAAGGCCTGCTTGCGCGAGAATGCTGACCTGTTCGCCTGTAGCGCCGCAGAGATGCCCGGACTCGACCCTGAGGTCGTCTGTCACCACCTCGCCATAGATCCGGCCGCTAGGGCCGTAGTATAACGTAGGCGTAGACAATCTCCAGAGAAAACGGAGGCTGCTGAAAAAGCTGTAAAAGACCTCCTAGAGACAAATTTTATTTCTGAAGTCCGGTATTCCACCTAGCTGTCAAACGTTGTACTTGTTAAAAAGAATAATGGAAAATGGAGGATGTGTATTGACTATACCGATCTCAACCGGGTCTGCCCGAAAGATGCTTTCCCTTTGCCGAACATAGACATGCTGGTCGACAACTCGGCCGACTATAAAATGTTGTCGTTCATGGATGCCTACTCGGGCTATAACCAAATCCCGATGGCCGTGGGCGACAAACATTGCACGACTTTCATGACCAGCTCAGGCAACTATTACTACAACGTAATGCCCTTTGGGCTGAAAAACACCGGGGCAACTTACCAGCGTATGATGAACAAGGTTTTCCACAAACAGATTGGGGACATGCTCGAGGTGTATATGGACGACATAATCGTTAAATCCCGAGCAGACACCGACCACGCAGCACACCTCAAGACAGTCTTTGCCCAAGCAAGACAATGTAAAATGAGATTCAACCCCGAGAAATGTACGTTCGGAGTCAAGGCAGGAAAGTTCCTCGGATTCTACCTAACAGAACGAGGAATTGAAGCTAACCCCGACAAATGTCGGGCGTTCTCCGACCTCCCGACACCGACGTCGAAGAAGTCAATACAAATCATGAATGACATGCTCACATCATTGTCCCGCTTCGTCGTGAGGTCCGCTCAGCACGCCCTCCCCTTCTTCAAACTCCTTCGTAAGGAAGCAACCTTCGAATGGAACGAGGAGTGTGAACGGGCGCTGCGCCACCTAAAGCAAAGTCTATCTCAACCACCCATACTATCTCGACCAGCCGACGGGGAGTCACTATTCTTATACTTGGCCGTCTTGAACGAAGCCATCAGCGCGGCTCTCATCCGCGAGACCACCGACGGACAGAAACCTGTCTACTTCACGAGCAAAGCCCCATAAGGACCCGAAAGCAGGTACCAACAGATAGAAAATGTGGCTCTAGCCCTCGTCAATGCGGCGAGGAGATTCATACACTATTTTCTGGCCCACACAATCATCGTGCGAACCGATCAACCAGTGAGGCAACTCCTAGGTCGGTCTGACATAGCGGGCAGAATGTTGAAATGGTCATTGGAACTCTCCGAATTCGACATTCAATACGAGAGTAGGAAAGCCCTGAAAGCACAGGCCCTGGCCGACTTTGTCGCGGAAATGACCACTCATGACCCACTCGCGGGGAAGGAACACAAGTGGACCATCTTCGTTGACGGGGCATCCAGCTCGTCCGGAAGTGGCGCAGGTATCCTTTTGGAGAACGAGGAAGGCGTAGTGATCGAACACTCCTTAGCTCTCTCCTTCCCAATGTCGAACAACCAAGCAGAGTACGAAGCCCTGCTCGCAGGACTGAGGCTAGCCGAGGACCTGGGAGCCCGCGAGATATAGATCTACACAGACTCGCAACTCGTCGCCTCCCAAGTCCAGGGGAGTTACCAAGCCAAGAACGACAACCTCGTCGAATACTTAAACTTAGTCAAAAAATACATGACAAAGTTTGAACGAGCAGAAATTTCACATGTCCCCCGCGAGCAAAACACAAGGGCAGACATATTGTCCAAACTCGCGAGCACGAGAAAGAAGGGCGGAAACAAATCCGTCATCCAAGAATCCCTAGCATACCCGAGCATCGAAAGATCCTCGACCTCAGTCGAGGTCCACGCCATAGGAGATGCCTCGTCCTGGATGACCCCGGTTTACAATTTCTTGACGAAGGGCGAACTCCCCTCGAACCAGACCGATGCGACAATCACAAAGCGACGAGCAT